CTTACCACTGACGTCCCTTCTTTCCTGTAGGGACTGGATGGATAGATTCCTGGTGAAAGGGGCTCAAGGGGGCCTTTTGAGGAAGCGGGAGGAGCAAGAGGAACCTGGAGAAGAGCCCCTTGTGTTGGGAGGAGACCAAGAAAGCACAAGGAAGAGGCCCAGGAGAGAGGCCCCGGGGAATGGAGGCCACTCCACAGGCCCCAGCTGGCGGTACATTCGGGCGGAGGGCCTGGACTGCAGTTACACAGTGCTGTTTGGCAAAGCTGAGGCAGATGAGATTTTCCAAGAGTTGGAGAAAGAAGTAGAATATTTTACAGGTAAGCAGAGGGGTGTGTGTATTGAGGGCTTGTTTGGTGCAATTAATGATCATATGTTTGGAGAAATCTGAATTCAGGATCTGTTATTCACTGATGGGTTCACTAATGGATTCAACCAATATTCTTTGAGCACCTCTGGGCTAAGCCCCTTAGGTGCTTAGGACATAAACTTGAAAAAAACTGGATTTGCCTGTCCACTGGGAGCTGATAGATGACTCAGGTGGATCTCCATTTGGCTACTGATAAGCATCTTCTGGAAAAATTTACAAAGCAAAGTGAAAAAACGTGCTGGGTTCTACAGAACTGCTGCAAGTGCAGGCTGACTATTCGTGTTTTTAAAAAGTGTGCAGGTGATTCTCATGGGCAGTCAGGGTTGCGAATCACTGGTCTCAGGAGAGATAGAAAATAACCAGGTAATTTCTCTACGCCAATGGTTCTCAGCATCACCCGGTGGACTTGCTGTTGGCAGGACTTGGATTGCTGGGCCCCACCCCTGTGGCTTAGTTTCTAAGGAGAGTCCAGGTGCTGCTGGTGCCGCTGGCCTGGGGAGCAGATGTTGAGAACCACGGCTGTACCTTGTAATGAGGACACAGGGACCTGGCAGAGAGGCATAGAAAAGCCCACAGGAGGCAGGGCATAGTGGCTCACATCTGCAATCCCAGCACTTTGGGAGGCTGAGCAGGTGAATCATTCGAGGTCAGGAGTTCCAGACCAGCCTGGCCAACATGGTGAAACCCCTAAAATACAATTCTACTAAAAAAAAAAAAATTAGCTAAGCATGGTGGCACACACCTGTAATCCCAGCTACTCTGGAGGCTGAGGCAGGAGGATCACTTGAAGCCAGGGGTTTAAGTCCAGCCTGGGCAACATAGCAAGACCCCTCGTCGCTTTATTCTTTTATGCCTTGAGACAGGGTCTCTATCGCCCAGGCTGGAGGGCAGGGGCACAGCCCTGGCTCACTGCAGCCTTGACCGCCTCAGCATCCTAAGTAGCTGGGACCACAGGCCTATACCACCAAGCCTAGATAATTTTTAACTTATTTGTAGGCCTCACTGTGTTACTCAGGCTGTTAACTGAATTCCTGGTCTTGAGTGGTCCTCCTGCCTTTGCCTCTCAAAGTGCTGGGACTACATGCATGAGCCAGCATGGCTGGCTCACCATCTCTTTAAAAAAAGAAATGCCCATAAGAGACCCCAGCTATGTGAGCCCCATCTTTAATGGGACCATACCCCCTTAGTCCCCAGAGCTGGCAAAATCATCCTAGCCTATAAACTGACTTTATTGTCTCCAATTTCAGACTCTTTATTCTGCTCTTAGTGTAGTTAAGGTAGTTAAGTTACAGTGTTCACTAAAACAATAGCCGAGGACCATGTTTCCCTACTGATAGGATAAGACTCACTGTTCTTACATGAGTGTTTGGGGCAATTGGCTGGGCGCAGTGGTGCACACCTGTAATCCCAGCACTTTGGGAGACCGAGGTGGGTGGACCACTTGAGCCCAGGAGTTCAAGACCAGCCTAGGCAACATGGTAAAACCCTGTGTCCACAAAAAAAGTTAGCTAGGCATGGTGGCATGCCCCTGTGGTCCCAGCTATTCAGGAGGCTGAGGCGGGAAGACTGCTGGAGCCCGGGAGGTGGAGGTTGCAGTGAGCTGAGATTGTGCCACCACACTCGAGCCTGGGTGACACAGGGAGACCCTGTCTCAAAACAAAAGAAAATTTGGGGCAAGCCAAAATGATGATTAAGGAGGGGTTTAAATTACATGGAAAGGCGCGGTGCAGTGGCTCACGCCTATAATCCCAAGCACTTTCAGAGGCTGAGGCAGGTGGATCATGAGGTCAGGAGTTTGAGACCAGCCTGACCAACCTGGTGAAACCCCGTCTCTACTAAAAACACAAAAATTAGCCAGGCATGGTGGTGGTGCGCACCTGTAATCCCAGCTACTCAGGAGGCTGAGGCAGGAGAATCACTTGAACCCAGGAGGCGGAGGTTGCAGTGAGCCAAGATTGCACCATTGCACTTCAGCCTGGTGACAAAGCGAGACTGTCTCAAAAAAAAAAGAAAATGCATGGAATGACAAAGAAATGTTATTGCTGTCTTAGTGCAATACCCAGGGATCATGTGTGTGGGACACTGGATTGCTGGAGGGGGTGTCGGGAGGAAAGGAACTGCCATGTTTCCTCTGCCCAGGGGTGCTGACCAGGATCCAGGTGTTCGGGAAGTGGCACAATGTGCCCAGGAAGCAGGCAACGTACGGCGATGCTGGGCTGACCTACACATTCTCAGGCCTCACGCTGTCTCCAAAGCCGTGGATCCCAGTTCTAGAGCGCATCCGGGATCGTGTCTCTGTGGTGACTGGACAGACCTTCAACTTTGTGCTTGTCAACAGGTGACGACACCCTGTCTGTTTAGTGGACTCAATGTTTCAAGGCTTCTGTCTCCTCCAAAAGGAAGTGTTTAGGCTTCTACCTATTTGGTTCATTGGTACACATCATTCTTAGTGCACCTGGGCTCTAGGACTGGAACAGCGCCAGCATCGGTCTTCCTGGAGTAGGAAGTGATTAACTCCTGAACATACAGTCAAACGAGACACTTTCTTCTTCTCTTTTTTTCTTTTCTTTTCTTTTTTTTTGAGACAGGGTTTTTCTGTGTTGCCCAGGCTTGGTCTCAAACTCCTGGGCTCATGTATCCTCCCACCTTGGCCTCCCAAAGTGCTGGGATTAAAGGCGTGAGCCACCATGCCTGACCCTAGACAGTTTCAGACAGCGATAACCATCTTACAAAACATTTAACAGGCCAGTTTCACTGAGAATGGCTGAGAGGTTTGTGTTTAGGGCAAGGTTTCTCAGTGGCAGCACTGTGGACATCTGGGGCCCAGTCATTCTTTGTTGTTGGGGCTGACCTGTGCCTTGCAGGATGTTGAGCACATCCCTGGCCTCCATCCACTAAATGCCAGTAGCATTCCCCACCCCAAATACCTGTGCTCTGGGACAGAATCACCCAAGTGGAGAACCCTGGGTGGGTTTAAGGGAAGGTCACTTTAGATGGAGTGGTTAGAGGAGGGCTGAGGCAGTGCGTTTGAGCTGGAAACTAAATGGAGAGTACCAGACACAGACATCTGGAGGAAGAGCAGAGGGATTCTGGAGTGTCTGTGAAGCAGAAATCCCGCTGGGATGGCCGGAAAGCAGTGAATGAGGGAAAAAAGGAGATGGCATGAGCTCAGAGGTGGGCACGGGCCAGACCGTGCAAGGAATGTGGCCTTTAAATGCAGGGCGAAATCATGTGATAAAGGCTTACATAGATCAGCCGGGAGGCTACAGTAAGATGTGATTTTGGCTTTGGGTGTTTTCAGGGTTTAAAAAAAATTTTTTAATTATTTATTTATTTTGTACTTTAGGTTCTGGGGTACGTGTGCAGATTATGCAGGATTGTTGCATAGGTACATACATGGCAAGGTGGTTTGCTGCCTCCATCCCCCATCACCTATATCTGGCGTTTCTCCCCGTGTTATCCCTCCCTACCCTCCCCACCTCCCCGCTGTCCCTCCCTTAGCCACCCTCCAACAGACCCCAGTGTGTGATGTTCCCCTCCCTGTGCTCATGTGTTCTCATTGTTCAACACCTGCCCATGAGCGAGAACATGGTATTTGGTTTTCTGTTCTTGTGTCAGTTTGCTGAGAGGGTGTTTTCAGTTTTAAAGCACATGAACTGGTCAGGCATGGTGGCTCATGCCTGTAATCCCAACACTTTGGGAGGCCAAGGACAGTGAATCGCTTGAGCCTGTGTTGGAGACCAGCCTGGGTAACATGGCAAAATCCTGTTTCTAGAAAAGAAAAAAATTAGCTAGGTGGGGTGGTACGTACCTTTAGCCCCAACTACTTCGGAGGCTGAGGTGGGAGGATCACTTGAGCTCAGGAGGTCAAGGCTGCAGTCAGCTATGAGTGTGCCACTGCCCTTCAGCCTGGGTGACAGAGCGAGACCTTGTCTCATAAATAAAGAATAAATAAGTCACATGAACAAATAGGTCAGCAAACCCCATCAGGGTTGGCTCATCTGAGAGCCCGCTGTGGACCTCAGGCCCTCGCAGAAACACGACACAGACAGCTGTGCACAGAGCAGTTTCACACTGTGAGCAAAAGAGGGCTGGCAGTGCAGGCGCTTCAGGAGATGGTGGTTTTCATGCACTGGGCTTCTTTTCTCGTTGCAGGTATAAAGATGGCTGTGACCACATCGGGGAACACCGAGACGATGAAAGAGAACTGGCCCCTGGGAGCCCCATCGCCTCTGTCTCCTTCGGTGCCTGCAGAGACTTCGTCTTCCGGCATAAGGATTCCCGTGGGAAAAGCCCCTCGAGGTGGGTGGCGGTGGTCAGGCTGCCGCTGGCCCACGGGAGCTTACTCATGATGAACCACCCAACCAACACGCACTGGTACCACAGTCTTCCCGTGAGAAAGAAGGTTCTGGCTCCACGGGTCAATCTGACGTTTCGTAAAATTTTGCTTACTAAAAAATAAAAACGTTTTTAACAGTTCTCTTTTCTCTTCTCTCTCTCTTGACTCCAAGAGGGAGCTGGCATTTCCTTTACCAACAGGGAACAGAAAGGTTTAAAGCATTTATGTTAACTGCAGAATTCAGAAAGATGATGTTTGTAGCAGATCAGTGCATTACAAAAGAAAACCACATGATTCTTTTCCTAACAAAATGATTATTTTATTGCTATAATACACAGCAGATACAAAAGTACCTTTAGCAAATACATATGTCAGCAGTTATGGCAAAAACTACTAGTTTAACTTAGGTTTTCCCCAAAAGAACTACTTACTTTGAAAATAACTTAAAACTAGAAATCTTTAGATTATTGGGCTGCTACTTAATGCCTAATAATTTACAAAAGAAGTCAAGTTAAAAGACTTTGCACAGATGTTCACATTTACAGCCTTGGCTGAAACCCTGGCCTCTGAGCAAAGAAAGATCTGCTTACAACTGTATGTTCCAAGGCTCAGCTCCTTTTCTCCATCTTTTCTTTAATGGTAGATTTCAAAGAGTTAGCAGTGGCAGAACAGCAATCACTTAAAGCTACAGCTTTGCAGTATACTTTAAGGTCACATGATTGGGCATTTGTTCCACCAGACTTGGGTAAAACAGGTGCGTTCATTTCAATATCAAAGCCAAGGTCTGCGATGGGCAAGTGCAGAACGGACACATAGTTCAAGCTGCCCCTTCCACCTTGACGCCCAGGGCCTGGAGAGCCTACATAGTCTATTCTGTTGAGAGCAAGAGTTCCTGAGTCCTCAGGGTGTCGTCTGGACCCAGCAGACAAGTGATCACCAGGGCTTCCTGCACCATGAGCTGCTGCCAAGGCACTGTTTGGTGCGTCTGCCAGCTCGCCCCCAGCCGAGGAAGCACAGGTCTTAGCCTTATCTCAGGGGACCTTTTGGATATGTCTGATTCCAAATCTGAACTCTGATGAGTCGGTTTGAATTTGGCACCCATTTTCTTTTTTAATTAAAAATCTAGCTTAAAACATAGGTACTATTGTGTTATCAAAATTCCTTTGGCCCTGGGCTGCATTCAGAGACTTACCTGAAAAGGGAAGAAAGTGCTCAATACATACTCTTTGTATTAGGCTACTGGAAATGAATAAATTTAGAATATGGACGTGACAATACTAGATGTCAGCTGGAGTTACATGTTGAAAAGCTGGAAAGGAATAAATTTGGAATATGGACATGACAATACTAGATGTCAGCTGGAGTTATGTGTTGAAAAGTCAAAAGCTGCTTTCTTCTGTGGAAAGGGCTGGTCGTCAACTCTAACCCTTCACTTCACAAATGAAGAAACTGAGGTCCATGGAGACTGCAGCCCCATGGTCAGCCCTTCCTTCCTAAGCCAGCTGTCAACTCGGGGCAGGGATTGTCTTTTTATACAGCCCCAAGCTCCTACCCGTAAACCTTAAGAGCTCTGCATGGCAATAAATAAACAGATGAAAGTAACCATCCACAGTGGATCCTTGTGTTAGAAAGAGTTTTCCACAGCAGAAGAATCAGGTGTTCCAAAGATACTGCTCAGTTCTGGCTATTCAGTTTTATAATACACTATAAAAAAATCTCAGTCCAACATACAAAAGATAAAAGCAACAAGTAAGCTTTTCACTTATAACTGGCAAAGTAGTGAAAGAGTTTCCCCAGGGGGCAGATTTGGCAGATGAACCTTGACTCCATAGAAAGAATGGAAAGGTTAGAAAAGGCATAGAAAAAGGAAGGTGTTCTCTAGGCAACTTTGACCTGTTCTCTTGCTGTCCTTTGAGTGACCTGGAAGGAATATTTCAGAATGGACGTGTTACAAAAGCAATCGAAAGTGAAAGGCACTTTTTCTTCTAAATTTTTGCCTTTAATAATTTCACTAATTCTTGTCAATTTTGAATGGGCCTGATTATTAAAAATAAAAGATCTATGTGGAAATGTGGGAGGATTAGACAAAGGTACCTCCCCTCTGAGAACAACTGACATTACAATATGAAAAGAGCAGCTTCAAGAATCTGAATTTTTTAAATTACCTGTATCAGATGAGTAAAGACACTCTAGACATAACGAATGCTTTCTTAACCGTGTACACACATGAACAGAGTTGTTCAGGGAGCCTGATTTGGTATGAATTGGGGCTGGCTCCCAGGTGGAGCCTGCTCTTAGAACACACCAGAAGGCTGGAAGGCTCTAGTGGGGCTGCTTGCACACTCAGTAAGTTTTACTTTTCCAGGACAGTGAGACAGAGCCATCGGCTCTAGCCTCACAGGAGAGCAGTCATTCTTCAGACTTGTACTCCTGGCTCTGGTGCTGCATCCTGGAAAGGACGCGCTCATAGAACAGCAGGTAGGCGCTGGAGGACAGGACCTCCTGCAGGCTGGCCTTTCGGACAGTGTCATCGGAGACCCACAGCCACTGGTTGCTGGTTGAGAGAGGGTTCCTGGCTGAAGGTGGGGACCGTCGGTAAGTGACAAAGTGTCCAGAGTGCATGTCTCCATGGTGGACGACAACTGCCATCAGCCGGAAGAGGTATGTGGAGGAGCTGAACGACAGGAACACATGTCAGGGGTTTACAATTTTAACAAAAAAGACTTTATAGGCAAAAACAAAAGAATCCTAACGTTAAAAAGGACATCAATACAATGGTAAGTCCATACCACCTAATGCTACGCAACTATTAAAATACAGATCCGTATTTACTGGCATGGCAGTATGTCCATTCAATGAGTATATATATATATATTGTATATGTGGATGTCTGTATGAAATGAGTGTGTTTATACTGTATGTATGTGTGTTCACATCCCACATATGACTTTATATAGTGCATGACCCTACCTGTTTAATTGGCTATCTCTAGGTGGTATCCCAAGAAATTTTAAATTTTCTTTATATTTTATACATACACACATATATACACACATACATATGCATATGTAAATTTTATGTACTTCAAAAATTCTTAGTTTAAAAGTGATTTCCATTTTGGACAAAAATAAATAGGAATGTGTAATCGTGAAACTTAACCTTAAAATGAAAAATAAACCTCTACATTTTCCTAAATTCGTTTCTGTGAAAAGCTAATTTTAGAAGCTAAGAGCAGTGGTAGCTCTAAGATGGGGCTTGTAAAGGGCAGCTCACCTGTAGTCGGGAACAATGGGGAGAGGGAAGGGCATCGGCGCTGACAGCGTTGGCAATAAAGATGGGGAGCAAGTGCCATTCATAAAAATCTGTGTTTTGGGGGCCCCTGGCTGATTCAGAACTGCAAGAGAAAAAGGTCTGCGTCAATAAAAATTAGCAGTGGCTCTGTAAACAAAGCCTGGTTTTGACTACCTTGAAAGTTAATTCCCCATAACACTATAAAGAAAAAAATGTATTTCATTTGGTATTATAGAGATTCATAAAATAATCTACCCTTTATCCTTAATCCCAAATAGGGATAATCTGTCTCGGTCCCAAATAGGAAAAACGTATCTAGCTCCAGGTTTATGGCTAGCCTGGGATCTTTGAGCTCCCTAGCCCTGTTTGCTAATGGCATGTATCAAAGTTAATCAGTAGCTAATTTACTGGCTTTCAACAAGGTTTCTCAACAGTGGCACAATGACGGTTTTGGCTGGATTACTCTTTGTCCTGTGTGCAGGATGTTGAACGGCATCTCTGGCCTCTACCCACTAGACACCAGTAGCATCCCTCCCCCAGTGTAGTGACAACCAAAAATGTTACCAGACATTGCCCAATGTCCCCTGAGAGGCAAAACCCCTCCAAGTTGATCTAAGCATCCTATTTTAATTCTGTCAGCTTCTAATGAACACCAACACATAACAGCATTAATACATGTTTATGGGTATAGATAAATGAGGCCATATTTACATGTCTTTTCCTTTCAAGTGTCACTTTTGGAGGCCTTTATGTACCAAGTAGTTTACTGATAACTTTTTTTTTTTTGAGACAGGATCTTGCTCCATTGCCCAAGCTGGAACACAGTGGCATGATCACAACTCACTGCAGCCTCAAACTTCTGGGTTCAAGCAATCTTCCCACCTCAGTCTCCCAAAGTGCTGGGATTACAGCTGTGAGCCACCACGACTGGCCCTACTGCTGGCATCTTTAACCACAGCCAGCATGCTCTCAACATTAGTAAACCTGCACCCCAGCCCAGGAGAGGGGGAAGCTGGGGTGAAGAGGTCTTTTGAGGTCTTTGATTTAAAACCAGGGCTTAGGACTGAGCCTGAGTCTGCTCCCTACCTCATCTCTTTCTGATGTTAATCTAGTGACTTGACGAGAAAGAGGAAAACACGAGAAAGAGGTCTCCCTGACATGATGAGGTGTCAGGCCATGCACAAAAAGAACAAAAGCAGTAAGGAACTGGATAATAGGAAAGTACGAGGTCAGGATGAGACGATCCTGACCCAACTGGGGGCATTAGGCAGGTGCTGAGTTCAGGCTGTGAGCCCTTAAAGTGAGTGGGTTTTCCTCATCTCTAACTCTAAAGAACTCAATGTGTCACATGAGACACCTTTAGAAGACGGCCCAACACTCCATTCTAGGGCCAGTTCTCCCGTGTGGAGTTTGCCCTTGGACCAATCATCCAACGCCGTGGAGCCTCCACATTGTTGTCAGTAAGATCAAGGGTGATAAGAGCTACCTGGCTTAACTGATACCTCAGCTGAGGGCAGTCACGGAATCAGATACAGAATTCATTAAAGTAGCCATTTCAACCCACAGAAGAGACTCAGTGATCTTTAGCCAGAACCTGTCCTCCCCACATTTCCTGTACTGACAGGAAATGACACAACTACAAAAGGAAAAAGAAAAAGATTCACTGGAATGATGTGAGCCAATGATTATATCATTTAGTGGAAAGATCGGAAGGCAAGGCTGCAATTTTAAGCGTTTCTCTCTGTACTTTTTCATTTGGAATATGGTTTCAAAAATGATACATCACACTACTACATAATTTTAACCTCTTCTAAGAAACCTTCCTTCTTCCACCCTCAATCCTGCTGTTCTCAAGAATTTAAACAACCATTGTACAAGCCTTGTGCTCATGACATAAGGGACCCAGAAGGTGTTGATGCCAAACTGCTTTTCTCTGTGCTGAAAATTCCTGCTGCATCAGCTGCTCATGCACACACCTGGTGTGGGTGCTGCCGGCCCGTCCTGCAGCTCCAGTGTAGGCCCTGGGTTCTTGTTCAGTTTAGGGTTGTATTCACTGGGTTCCGGGGTAGGCCCTGGTTTCTTGTTTAGTTTAGGGTTGTGTTGACTGGGTTTATGTCCAAGGAGGTGGTACTTGTAAATGTCCATCATCAGGAACTCATTGAACTGCACGTGCTCATGCCTCTTCAGAGGCGTGCCGTGGCTGGACCAGCTCAGCCGCTGTAGGTGGATGCACAGACACTGAGGGAGCTGCGGGTGGAAGAGAAACCAGGAGAACCGAGTCGTTTCAGGGCAGGACATGGGGAGTCCTCAAAACAAAGCCAACAGGGTGTGGTGTGGGCTCACCTTCCCTAGTTTTAACTGTTTAACAAAAGTAGTCCTCTGGTGTTCTACCTTTTCCCCGTTCAATGTTCCCTTGGCTTCAATCTGAAATAAAAGAAACATGCTTTGCAGAAATGCCTAAAATAGCACAGCTATGGAGAGCTGCAGACCACGGTGGCGTTATAATGGCACACAATTGGCACTTGACTGCTGCCTGCTGAAATGAACTCAGCTGCCCAGTGATTAGGGTCATTAAATAACAGAAACATTGGAGGGAAGAGAACATGAAGAGTGAACACTGAAGCTCTGACACTTGCATGCCATCTATTCTGGTCTCTGTTTTCATAAATTCTGTTCCATACAGCTCCTCTTGAGTCAGAGGGGAAACTCAGCTACTGGGGGGAGTCAGGCAGGGGCACAGGTGAAAAGGAAGGTGTAAAACAAATGGGATTGGAGGCAGCTGCAGCAAATTGGAAAGGGTGTGTCTCATCTCAGGGTGACAGTTAAGTTTATTCTTTTTTTTTTTTTGAAATGGAGTCTCACTCTGCTGCCCAGGTTGGAGTGCAATGGCATGATCCTGGCTCAGTGCAGCCCCCACCTCCTGGGTTCAAGAGATTCTTCTGCCTCAGCCCCTCGAGTAGTGGGGATTACAGGTGCATGCCACCATGCCTGGCTAAAGTTTATTCTTTAAACACTGTGCATGAAACAAAACTCATCTGGGAAAGAGATTTGGTCCATGGGCTACCAAAGTCCAAACCAAGTTAGGGAGAAATAGAAGTGGCTGAAAAGACCCACTGGGTATAGTCAGAAGAGCTCAGGGTCACTGGTATGACAGCGCTACATCAGCAGACACAGGCCAGCTGGGGGATGACATTTGGGGTTAAATGCATACCTTTGTACAGTTGTCACACACAACATCCCGCACTGATTCTGATGAGATGAAGTGGTGAAGGCAGTGGTCCAGGGTCAATGGGTGACCCTACAGCATGAGAGGAAGAAAATTACTATAATTCAAAGGACAGCTATACTGAAACTATTAACAGATGGCAGTGAGAAGACCAGAGCTTTATTTTGATGTAAGCAGGCAATGAAGTTTTATAGTCACAACTGGATGTCTCCTGGACAAATGTGAGGCTCAAAGCATCCTGGACTGCTACTACTAACAGAGTCTAGAGCATGAGGATGTAACTGGACAAACTTGTGGACTTCCATGCTGTTTTAGGCATCTCTGAATTTGAGGTTAGTGTGTGTGTGTATTAAAAAAGCCAAAATGTCTGGAGCAAAATAAAAACCATTCATCTTCCTCTCTCCCATAATCATGCCACATATTAAAGTTAAGATGGGTTCAACCAACCATGTATCTGAATAACACATAGTGCCTGAGCCACAGAAAGTGCCTCAAAGCCCTTTCAAGTTGAAATGTCTTTGAAACAGACTCCAAATAGACCATAAATCAGTACCTACCCATGTGGCAGCTGGAATACTTAGTGAAAGGCTATCGAAGGTATCAAATCGAACAGGACTCTGAAACAAATATTGCAGAAAATCCATAAAAGATTTAGGTTTAATTCAAAGTTTTAAAGATGGAAGATATGACTATGAAACAGTTTAATATTCAGATGGCCAACGTTAACATGGTAAAATGGAATTCTATTATATTAGAATCAAATTCTATTAAAAACAACCTCGTAAACATAAGAGGTACAATAATACTAAAGAATTACGTGGAACAACTGAAAGATTAAATATCTGACCCAGCAATAATTTTGGGATTTTATTTTAAGGAAATAACCCTGGGCATAACTACAAGGATATTAATCAACATTATTTATAATAGCAAAAATCTGAATACAGTCAGCATCACTTAACAATGGGGATACATTCTGAGAAATGCATCCTTGGGCAATTTCGTCATTGTGTCATTGTGTTAATGACACATTTCATCAACTGTCATTCATCATTTTGTCATCACAGAACGCAGTTACGAACACCTAGATGTTGCATCCTACTACACACCTAGGCTATATGGTTTAGCTACTGCTCCTAGGCCACAAACCTTACAACATGATACCGTACTGAATGCTGTAAGCAACTGTAAGGGCAGTATCTGTGTATCAAAACATAGAAAAGGTACCGTAAAAATAAAGTATTATAATCTTATGAGACCACCATCATATATGTGGTTTGTCATTGACCAAAACATCACTATGCAGCAAGTGACTGCAGGTGAAACTTCTAGTGAATGATTTAATAAATTAGAGCATGTCCACAGAATGAAACACCATGTTAAACAAAATGCAGAACATATGACCATGTGGAAAGATGTTCATGTTACATGATTCATTGCAAAAAAGCAGATGATGGAGTAGGGGGAGAGAGCTCCTGCTTTTGGTGATGGCAGAGGTGCTGATGGCAGAGGTGCTTGGGTAGATTAACATTCCTTGAGATAACAATTGTAAAGTCTGGACCAAGACTATGTGAATGAATGGAGAGCTACCAAAAGCAGGCAGAAATGGAAAAGAAGTCAACTCTTGGAAAAACGAAACTCCATGGATGAGATATGTGTGTTTGTAGCTTTTTTCCCAGTTGATGTGGTACTGGGTGGCAAAAAAGCAGCATCCTACAGAACTGAATGGTCAGAAGACAGAGTTCAAGAATCAGGGCTGGTGCAGAGACCAAGGGAAATCCCAGGAAGAAAGGAGACATAGAGGGGATGAACCCCACAGTTTATACCTAAACTCTATTCAGTTCCAGGGCTGATCCCTGAACCACACATGCACAGGTGGAAACTCCAGGGAGCCTGGCAAAAAGTAGCAGCTGGAAGCTAAAAAAACTGAGCAGAGGTTTTGCTGCCCCATGTAGGGAGACAGAGTTGAGTTTGAGCCCAGCTGGGTTAACTGCAGGCCAGAAGAAAAGTAATTTTTCTTCAGAGAAATGAACAGAATCCCTACTCTCTCTGTCTCTACTATGATGTTAAGAACACAATAAAAAATTACTAAAGACAAAATACAAAGAAGTCGGCACACAAGGACCTCACAGATGTATCATAAATATGCTCAAAGATGTAAAGGAAAATATACAGTGACAATGAATGAACAAATTGACAATCTCAGAACAACAATGGAAACTATTAAAAAAAGGAAATGGAAATTCTATAACTAAAAACAATAATGACTACAATGTAAAATTTGCATAGGCAGAGATTGGAGATGAAAAAAGAATCAGGCCAGGCATGGTGGCTCACATTTATAATCCCAACACTTTGGGAGGCTGAAGTGGGAGGAGTGCTTGAGCCCAGGAGTTCAGGACCAACTTGAGCAACACAGCGAGACACTGTTTCCACAAAAATTTTTTTAAAAATCAGCTGGGTGTGGTGACACACTCTTGTAGTCCCAGCTGCTCAGGGGGCTAAGGTGGGAAGATGACTTGAGCTTGGGAGGTTGAGGCTGCAGTGAGCTGATTGCACTCCAGCTTGGGTGACAGAGCTAAGACCCTATCTCAAAAAAAAAAAGAAAAAAATCAGTATCAGTGAACAGTGAACATGAAGATAAGTCAATAGAAATGATCTAAAGAACACACAGAAAAAGACTGAAGAAAATTGAACAAGACCTCAGTGACCCATGCAGCCACATTAAGTAAACTAGCAAGTGAAAAATGGTCATTAAATCTTTGTTAAAAAATAATGGCCAAGAATTTTCAAAGTTGGTTAAAAAAAATAGTACAGATTTAAGAAACTCAGCAAACCCCAAACAAGATAAATACAAAGAAAACCACATCTATGCACAGCATGAATAAAAATAAAGAGAAAATCTTGTAAGCAGTGTTAGCAGAAGAAAAAGAAATGAGACTTCACATAAAAAAGAATGATATAAATAACACTGACTGAAAAAACGGAGGCCAGAAGACAATAGAACAATGTCCTTAAAGTGATGAATTTAAAATAAACCAAAGAAAAACAATGGCACCACTGTCAACCCAAAGTTCTATATTCAGCAGTACTATCCTTAAAATGAAGGCAGAACAAAAATTTTCATGTAAATGAAATCTAAGTTTATCTGTCACCAGTCCACATATAGGAAATGTTTTAAAAGGATGTTTTTAGGCTGAAAGGGAAAAAAACATAAAATGAATTTTGATCTACAAGAAAGACTGAGAACGAAAGTGATAAATATAGTTTTTTCTATTAATTTCTTTAATAGAAGGTAACTTGCACACTCTTGTTGGGAATGTAAATTGGTGCAACTATTTTTTTGTTGTTGTTTGAGACAGCGTCTCACTCTGTTGCCCAGGCTGGAGTCCAGTGGCTTGATCTCAGCTCACCACAACCTCTGCCTCCCAGGTTCAAGCCATTCTCCTGCTCAGCCTCCCGAGTAGCTGGGATTACAGGTGTGTGCCACCATGACCGGCTAATTTTTGTATTTTGAGTAGAGATGGGGTTTCACCATGTTGGCCAGGCTGGTCTTGAACTCCTGACCTTGTGATCCACCCACCTCAGCCTCCCAAAGTGCTGGGATTACAGGCATGAGCCACTGCACACAGCTGGTGCAACTACTATGGGAAATGGTATGGAGGTCCTTCAAAAAGTTAAGAACAGAACTATATGAACTAGCAATACCACTTCCGACTATATAGTCAAAGAAAATGAAATAAACACACATAACTGTTTAAAGCAAAAACCATGACACAGTATTGTGGGGTTTATAATATACGTACAATAGCACAAAGGCTAGGGTAACAGAACTATACTTTTGTAATATTCCAATATTTTACATGAAGTATAACATTAACTCTAAATAGAATGTGATAAGGTAAAATTGCATAAGGTAATCACACACACACAAACACTTAAGAGTAAAGCTAAAAGGCCAACAAACGTATTAAAACGGAATACTAAAAAGCATTTAATTAACCTGAAAGAAGCCAGTGAAGGAGGAATACAGGAACAAGAAAATATGTAAGACAAACAGAAAACAAATGGTAAAATGGCAGACCTAAATCTAACTATATCAATACTTAAATTAAATGTAAATGGACTAAACATTCCAACTGAAAGATTGTCAAGCTGGATAAAAAGCAAGACCCATTATCTGCTGTCTACAAAGCCACACTTTACATACAAAGGCCAAAAATAACAGAAAGAAATTACCAAATAAACATTAGCTAGATTAAAAATGAATCATTTAAATAGATTTCAAGTAAAGGAGTCTTAGCAGAGATGAAGAGGGACAATTTATCATGACACGATGAGTCACCTCATCATAATACATATGCTTGTATTCAAAAATAAAGCTTAAAAAAATAGCAGAAATACAGCTAAAGAAAAACATTTTAGCAAACACTTAGGGAAGAAATAATACCAATATTAAACAAAATCTTTCAGTAAACAGAGGAGGGAACATTTTCCAGCCTATTTCATGAGGCTAGTATAATCCTTATAACAAAGCCTGACAAAGACATCACAAGAAAAGAAGGTGTAAGAACAACATTCCTCATAAACATAGATACTAATATCCTTTAGGAAATATTAGCAAATCAAATTCAATAATATATAAAAAGAACAAAGCATCACGATCAAGTCAGGTTTATCCTGGAAATAAAAGGCTGGTTTAACATGAGAAAAATCAATCACTGTAATTCACCATGTTAACAGAAGAAGAGAATCAAATATGATTATCTCAATAGATGCAGAAAAAGCATGACAAAATTCAATCACTATTACAAAAATTATTAGCAAACGAGGAACAGAAGGGAACTTTCTCAGTATGACAAAGGTGTATACTAAAACCTAAAGCTAATATCATACTTAATTATGAAACACCAAATACTTGCTTCAGAAGATTTGTAACAAAGCAAAGATGTCTGCTATCATCACTCTTATTTAACTTTGTACCAGAAGTCTCAGCCAGGAAAATAAGGCAAAGAAAAAAAAAAAAGGAATAAAGACTGGACTGGAAAGGAAGAACTAAAACTATTTCCATTCATAAGGAACATGACTGTTTACATACACAGAGAATGCTAAGAATACATAATAAAACGTCTACAGCTTCTAGAAATAACTAATGTTTACAATATCTCAAGATATAAGGTCAATACATAAACAACTGTATGTCTACATACTAGTGGCAAACAATTTGAAAATTAAAAAATGTTAATTCCACTTACAATAATATCAAAACAAATAAAATGCAAGAAAAAAAGATGAATAGTCAACTTACAGATTACAGTTCCTTAACATATCTTACATATCTTTTAATATATGAAGCTTATTTTTAAAAAAACCATTCAACATATTAGTCTTCAAGGTAATGCCACTCAGAACTGCAATGACACAGCAAAGGAAACAATCAGCAAAATGAAAAAGCAACATATGGAATGGGAGAAAATATTAACAAACCATATATCTGATAAGGTATTAATATCCAAAATATAGAAGGAATTCATATGGGCCAACAGCAAAAAAACAAAAAACAAAACACAAAAAAAAAACATGATTAAAAAATGGGCAAAGGACCTGAATAGACACTTTCCAAAAAAGACATACAAATGGCCAGCAAGTATGTGAAAAGGGACTAATCATAAGGAAATGCAAATAAAACCACAAAGAGCTATCACCTCACACAATAGGATGGCTATTACCAAAAAGACAGCATGTGCCTGGCACGATGGCTCATGCCTATAATCCCAGCACTTTGAGATGCCGAGACAGGTAGATCACCTGAGGTCAAGAGTTCAAGACTAGCCCAGTCAACATGGTGAAACCCTGTCTCTACTAAAAATACAAAAGATTAGCTAGGCGTGTTGGTGGGGGCCTGTAATCCCAGCTACTGGGAGACCAAGGAGGGAGAATCACTTGAACCTTGAACCCAGGAGGCAGAGGTTGCAGTGAGCCAAGATGGCGCTCCTGCACTCCAGCCTGGGTGCCACAGAGTGAGACTCCATCTCAAAAAAAAAAACAAAAAACAAAAAACAAAAAAAAACCCCAGCACGTAACAAGTGTTGGCATGGGTGTGAAGAGAAGGCAACTCTTGCACACTGTTGGTGGGAATGTAAATGGAAAACAGTATGGAGGTTCCTCAAAAAGTTAAGCATAGAATTACTATATGAACTAACAATACCACTCCTAAGTATATATCCAAAGGAAATTAAATCAGGATCTCAAAGATCAAATCTACAAAACAATGATCACTGTAGCATTATTCACTAGAGCCAAGATATGGAATGTCCACAGACAGATGAATGAGAAAATGTGGTAAACACGAATAATGAAATATTCAGCCATCAAAAAGGAAGTCCTACCATCTGTGACAACATGGATGAACATGGAGGACATCTACTGTGTGAAATAAGCCAAACATAGAAAGAGAAACACTGCCTGATTTCATACCTATATGAAATCTAGAAAAGCCAAACTCACAGAAGCAGAGTAGATGGTGGCTGCCAGGGGCCGGGGATGTGGGGAGATGTTGCTCAAATATGCAAACCTTCAGTTATAAGATGAGTAAGTTCTAGGAAGTTAACGTACAGCACGGTGACTACAGTTAATAATACTGTTTTGTATTCTTGAAATATGCTAAGAGAGTAGATCCTGAGTATTCTCACCACACATGGGCACAGGCACACGTGCACACACAATCACATAACGTGTGAGGTGATGGGTATGTTAATTAGCTTTAGATTGATTGTAGTCATTTCACAGTGCATACATATGTCAAATCATCACTTTGTACACCCTAAATATATACAATTTTTGTTGTTGATTAGAGCTCAATAAAGCTCGAGGAAAAGCCACAACGAGATACTACTTTGCACTCATTGCACTCAGTCGGAGGGCTAGAACCAAAATGTCAGAGAGTACAAGTGCAGGTGAGGCTGTGGAGAAATTGAAACCTTTCATATGCTGCAGGTGGGAATGTAAAATGTCATAGCCACTTTGGAAAACAGTCTGGCAGTTCCTCAAAAGGTTAAACAGAGTTACCATAAAAGCTAGCAATTCTACTCTGAGGTATACACCCAGTTGAAATGAACATACACGTCCACACAAAAACTTGTATGTAAATTTCACAGCAACATTATTCATAATAGCCAAAAAGTGTTAACAATCCAAATGCCTGGGCCGGGCGCGGTGGCTCATGCCTATAATCCCAGCACTTCGGGAGGCCAAGGCAGGTGGATCACGAGGTCAAGAGATCAAGACCATCCTGGTCAACATGGTGAAACCCCATCTCTACTAAAAATACAAAAATTAGCTGGGCATGGTGGCACGCGCCTGTAGTTCCAGCTACTCGGGAGGCTGAGGCCAGAGAATTACTTGAACCCAGGAGGCGGAGGTTGCAGTGAGCCGAGATTGTGCCATTGCACTCCAGCCTGGGTAACAAGAGCAAAACTCCGTCTCGAAAAAAAAAAAAAAAAAAAAAACACAATCCAAATGCCTATCATCTGATGAATGGATAAGAATTCTGTAGATCAAAAAAAAAAAAAAAAAAAAACTGCTGTAGATCCATATAATGCAATATTATTTGGTAATAAAAGGAACAAAGTACTAATTCATACCACAATATGGAATAATCTTGGAAATATTATGCTAACTAAAAGAAGCAAGACACAAAAGGCCATACATTACATGATTCCATTTATATGAAGTATCCTGAATATGTAAATCCATAGAGACAGAGGTAGATTCATGGTTGACAAGGAACAGGGGGATGGAAAGAATGGGGAGAAACTGCTAATAAGTATGGAGTTTTTTTAGGGGGCATGAAAATGTTATAAAGTTGACCGATCCCAGAGTCAGTAATGGCTGTGAAAAATAAAATAAAATAAAATGAATTGGGGTGATAGTTGTACCATTCTCTATTTTTGTATGATGTTGGAAATTTTCAACAAATATGCCCAAGCTGCACAGAACATAAAACAAAAAGTTATTTTAAAACCTCAAAAGCAAAGGGGAAAAAACCAGCCCTAGAATCTACTGTGTGCAACCATGAGCACAGACTCAACCACAAGACTCAAGACCTTGCCAATCCGCAGTGGGTCTGTTCTTGGTGCAGAAGATGCCATCTGAGGATCAAATGCCATGTTGACACTGACCAAAGTGGGGCAGTCAGTCCACCCACCAGTGTGCAGAGGCCAGGTAGTCGCCAACACCGGTGACCAATGTCAGCTCACTCTCTAGGTCCTTTTAAGAATCCTAACTTTTGGAAAACCTTGCCCGGCAATATCAAGTGTTGTATTGTATTTACCTGGTGTTCACAGTGTTTGCAGATCATATTACTAGTGAGTCTTCCATGAAAAGGATGTTGAGACTTCCAGTGATTGGATGTGGGGTGAGGTGACCCTGGAATGCAAAAAGTCTTTTGATATGTTACTTTTAGCTCTTTGGCACCACGCTCAACATTCACTTTCCTTTCTAGTATGCGGTAGAAACCCCCTCTGGAGAAAAAACGTTCTTGAAAAGTACATTGAAATAGCTTTCCTCATTGACTTTCATCCAAAAGACATCCCATTCCTTCATAGGATAATTTTCGCAGATTTATCTTTACATGTGGTTTCTGAATAATGGGTAGAGCCACATTTAAAAAAAGGAATTTAGGTTAATAATGTCTTTTTACAAACACATTCTTAAAATGTTTGAGATGTCAAAAGAAGGAAACCACCAGTGAACATTCCATAAAGTGAGATAAAATCTTCTGAAATAATCAGAATAAGCAAGTTCTGAATAACTGGGTCTTTCTTTGGCTAAAATGGGGCTTAGTGGAAAGAACACAGTGAAAAACCCGGCTCTGGAGTCAGGCAGCCCAGGGATCAGCTCTGGCTCTGCTTCTTATTCGCTACCTGACCTGGGAATGCCTTTAATCTCTGCAAGCCTCAGTTTGCAGAAAATTGGGATAGTTATTATCCCCTTGTCTCCAGTATCATCAACTTTGTAGAGTTGTTTAACAAAGCTTAAATGAGATAATGCAATGTCTGGCAAACAGCATGGGCTCAGAAAATATTTATTCCTATTACTACACAGAGGAATTGATAGGCTAATTGTATTGTTTAAGTCTTAAGAAAACAATTTCCTTCTAAGAATGACTGTGGTAATATGCAGTAAAATTTGGCAACACTGGAAATGCTGAGGATACGACAGATTCATCAGCTTATTACGTTCTTCCCAGGATCAATTTGAAAAGGTAAAAAGTAAGCCCTTATGTGAAGTACAAATAAGCCAGTTTGAGAAAAGTAAGCTAGGCTGGGGTACAAGGGAACACCAAGAGAATCATGAAAAGCTGTTTCCAAAATACAAGTTCCTTTGCAAGTACATCACATTTCAAGCTGGCCTGTATGTCACCAGAAAAAAAATATTTTTAAAACAAGCAAAGTATGATCATATCTTAAAAGTACACGTTTTATGTGTTATATTTCAATGGAAAACGGCTACCTCTTGTGCGGCAGGTAATTTGTTTGGGAGTTATTTCTGACTGCTGCTGTAGGGGAAAAAAAAAAACAGACTGAAAATCCTACTATAATCCCTTTTACCACCCTCAGCCCACCCCTACATCTTACAAGTTTCTGTGTTGATTACACCACTAAAAATCAACTTTTAACAAAGCTCAGGTTTCTAAAGGTAGCCCCAATTAGCCTACCTGCCTGGATACTATGCATATTTCTTCATCGATTGCCACAGAAACATATTTCCTCTCTCCAGAATATTTTCATCTTTACTGGTTAACTTTTACCTACTCCCCTGATATTTACTCAGTTACAGGGAAATGAGGGCTCATTTAGCATTCCTATGGCCCTTGTTCCCCTGTATTAAATAAGAAAAAAATAATACATTTTTTCTTCTCAAAGCCAACACAAATTGCAGCAATGAATCATTTGGAAGAGTCTTGACACCCCTAATCAGAGTCACCAACTGCAGAGCGTGTAGTTTAAGACCCTCCCCTGGCCTTACTCCCACCACTGATTTTTACTGAATCTTACTTTTGAGTTTAAAGTTGTACAAAGATTACATTTGCCTCTCCTAACTTATTAATATGCACAAGCTGCACAGAACATGTTGGAAATGTTAATGGTTTACCTCCAGGGAATGCACATCAAACAAATGTGTGACCCGAGGCTGGCGGTCTCGCTCATCTTCCAATGATGAGGTAATGACATGGAATAATTCGTGAGCATCCTGTCAAAGGGCAAAGCATTCTTTAGAGAAGCCGGGTGAGGCAAGATCAGAACCATCCCTGTCAGCAGACGCCCTATAGCGAATGTGGGTAGAATTTGCTTTCTACCTTCTCAAGGCTCAGCTCATTAAAGGAAAACAGTTATGTCCTAGACACTGTCACGAGTAATGACCCTCAACCAAGAGGTCCAGGAGCAGAGAGGAGAAAAAGCCAGATGGCTGCCTTCATGCCAGCAATATCCGAGACCGTCCTGTTTCACTGAGACAGTCCTGACCTCCGCTCCACTTGACTTCAAAAGATTATGCTTTCTGTTAATTGTGGTAAAATACACATATCATAAAATCTATCACCTTAACCATTTTTACATAAATGATTCTGTGGCATTACATACATTCATGTTATGCAATCCCCACTGCCATCCATCTTCAGCACTTTTTCATCTTCCTCAGCGGAAATGCCACACGTTAAACACTAACTCTTCATTTCCCCTTCCCCTGCCTCGGCACCTACCATTCAGTCTGTCTCTAGGAATCTGCCTACTGTAGGAACCTCATACAAGTGGAATCATACAGTGTTTATCTTTGGAACTGGCTTATTTTCCTTGGCACAATATCGTCAAGCTGCACCCATGCTGTAGCATACGGCAGAATTTCCTTCCTTTCTAAGGCTGAATAATAATTCATTGCATGAAAATTTTATTTACCTGCTTATCCGCTGATGAACACTTGGGGTGCTTCTACCTCTTGGCTATTGCGAATATGCTGCTATGAACCTGAGTATATAAATATCTTCTTGAGTCCCGCTTTTAATTATTTCCATTTGTACCCAGCAGTGGGATTGCTGGATCCAATGGCATGGAACTACTCTACAAGGATCAACTCAAATAGCCCTGTCCCCAAAAACCCAAGCCACCCCTTACTCTTCCGAGAGTAACAGGATCACAACACAGGCCCTCTGCTTCACCTCTTGGAGCCCCCCACACCGCCACCAGAGCAGTGCTTTAAAAGGCAGATAGCTTTACTCTTCTGCTTTTAACTTTCCAATGGCTTCTACTTAGAGTAAAACCTACCACTCTTATCTGGCCTACAAAGCCCCCAACATTCACAATGCCCTCGCCCCTGGCCTCTTTTGTGTTCCTTGGACACATCCAGCTTATTCCCATTTCGGGCTGTGCTCAGACCTTCACACAGCTACCTCCTGTCCTTCAGGTCTCTGACAAAGAGCTCCTACACAGGGCATTCTCCCCAACCAACTATCCAAAGCTGCCTCCACCCCTCTGAAACCAGCCCACCCCCAGCCAATTCAGCAAAGGCCCCTCCTCCAAAATATGCCCTAAATTCCTGAGGCCTCTCAGCTCCCCTGCCTCAACCCCAGTCAGAGCCGAGCCATCTCAGCCAGATAACCGCAGCAGCCTCCCACCTCTCTTCGCAGCTTGCATTCTTACCCCTCCAGCCTTCCTTTTCTAACAAGTCAGATCAAACTAGTCCCCAGTTCAAAGGCCTCTAGTGATTCCCTGCTGCACACACAATAGAATCTGAAACTGCCCATGGCCTCCCAGTCCCTGCACACTCTGCTCCCTGCCAACTTTCTACAGTCCCTCTCCTCTGCCGCCACCCCCCAACCCTGGCCTCCCTGCCATTCTCCATAGGTGGCAGCTTTATAACCATCTCCAGACTTCCACCCTAGCTTCTTCCTCTGTCTGGAATGCTCTGTACCCAGGTCTCCACACACTTCACTCTCTTTTATACTTCAGGTCTCCGCTGAAAGCTCACCTACCAAGAGGAGCCTCCCTACCTGGAGCAGTCTCCCGCTGGGGCTTAGTTCCTCCTCCCCTGCTCTCCCGACCTATGCCATGTCATACCAGACAGTTTCTTGTTGGCATATCCTGAAATTCCCTGCTGATTGTCTGCACCTACCCCGGCCCACTATCCTTCTCCCCAGCTTGAATCCCAGCTCCAAGAGAGCAGGAAACACCTGTAGGTCATGTCTGCTGCTACAACCCCATTGCCCTCCACAGGCCCCACCCCAGGCAGGCATTCAGTAAATACTTGTGGCCCATATAAATGAATTCCCTTCTGGGCTACAAACTGCAGTATAAAGTGCAAGTAGAAATCCAAAGGTAAATAAAGCAAGGCTCTGGCCCCCGAGGGACTCAATCCAGGGGAGGTATGGCAGCCCAGCCATTAGCCAACAGCATATCGGGGCTGCAACCCTGTGACAAGCAGGAAGCAGGGGGGCCGGAGGAGAATCAGCACTTCCTGGGAGGCTCAAGGAGCCCTAAAACACCAGGCATCTGGGCCCAGCCTTGAAGCAGATCCCAAGACAGGATGGAGGTGGATCTATAACCTAACCTGGGGGTCAGCCATGTAACGACTAGGCCTTGAGGAAAGGGACAGCATTGCAGAGGAGTGGAGCTTGAATGTGCACTGTAGCACCAGACTGACTCAAAACCTGGCTCTGCCTCTTAAATAGCTGTGTGACTCTGGGCAAATCATTCCACTTCTCTGAGCCTCAGTGTTTCTATCTGTAAAATGGGGATAACAGTAACTCCTTACTGGGTTATTTTGATAATCAAATCAGGTAATTTGCATAAAGCAAGCACTTAGCCCAATGCATCCTCTGAAGCTCTAGCTTTAGACAAAGAAAATGGGAAAGTCTGATCCTGATTGACCAGATCACTGACAATAGAGATGCGGGCAAGGCCCATGCTAGATGCTCTGGGTACCTTCAAAGAGGAAAAGGCCACTGGACAGACAATCTCTTTTTCCTGCAGACTATAGTATCACGTGGGCTCAGTGACTGCTGTGGGATGAAGATGTTGGAAATACTTGCAAGGAGTGACTGGGACTTAAGTGAGTCCTTGACGGAGAAGTCGGACTTAAAAAAAGTGGTCTGATGGCCTTGGCGACTGAATCTCAAAGTTATTCTCTCAGTTTAGGGAAATGTAAAATGTAGCTAAATAATTCCACTTACCACAGGAGGATTTTAAAAGTATTTTCTAAGTAGAAAAACATTGCAACATACAATTGGATTAACTGAGATACATTTTAAGAAAGTATAGATATCACCACCACCATGTCTAAAAACTGACCAGTGGCTTCAGAATAAAGCAAAAACAAGAGAACATCTTTAAAAATAAGGGGAGCTAGAAAGCCTCCCCACCTCCCTTTGCAAAAGTTTCTCAATGTCCCTCACGTCAACCCCACAGTTTTGGGAGGTCCAAGATGCCACCTCCCATTTCTCTGGACAGTGGTGGCAGAAGACGCCTACACAAAGCTGGACAAGGCCACGTTGGAAGTGTGGCTGTAGAGGATGCACCTGTATGCCACTGAAGGCTAGATTTTTTCATCCCTAGAGCTTCACTCTCTTGGCCTCTGTTTCAGACTTGTTGTTGCTAACAGTGGTCTGGCAGGGAGGAGGGTGGTCAAGTTCCAAAGAAGGTAGCAAAGCTGCAGTTGTGGAAAAGGGAGGTGGGAGTGACTCAATACAGCTTTGGAATTGCATATGACATCTGCTTCAGGTTTGGGGCCACTTTAAGCCAAGCTCTGAAGATAGATTTTTTAAAAAATGAGGGTGAGGTCCAGAAAAGAGTCTTACCTGAACCTCTGAGCCTCCAAGGTAAAGTCACCTGCCTCTTTCTAAAGAACCCAGGTGTCCCTATCACTTACTGGAGTGCCAAGTCACTCAAGAACTAAAAAGAGTTTTGCTCTTTGGCAACTGTGTGTTTATGTCCCATCCTACTAACCTTCTATCCACAGGGTGAAAACCAGCTATATATCCCATCTGATCATGAGAACAGGAACAAAGTTGGTACTCTGGTCCCAAAACGCTAAAGTTGTCTAAAATGTCACAGAAATGTACACTGAGGCCAGGCAGGTCCCAAGTCACGAGGGGAAAGGATTCTCCAAGCTAAACCTGTTTGAATGTTGTATTCACCTGTTCTTCAAATGATGAGATCTGCCATCTGTACATTCTTAAGACATCCAACAAGCAGCTTGCATCCAAGACCTCATCATCAGTAACTTCTTGGCAGGATAAGGCTGGAAACAAAAAAGGTAAGACAATTATTAAATTCACCAGCATAACCAGAAAACCTGCAGAGTATAACATATCAATCAAAGTTAATTAAACATTTAAGGACTGAAGGATTCACCCTAGAATTAGATATTTTTCATCATTCTTTGTAGCTTTACCCAATGCTTAGTACTCTGTTAGGCACTTTATGTTTATTGAATGATTAATTTTTCATGAGGCTGCAGCATTGAAACGAAGTAACTGATTCTTGGATCTTCACACTACCATCATCAATATAAATTTGTTGCAAGGTTCTTATTGAGTAAAATGATTTTAATTCACAACTCTCAGGTTTGGAGATCCCTTAAACATTCATCTAGTCCAACCCCATATTCAGTGCTACACTCCTCTCCACAGGGCTGTTTCCCATCACTGTAAGGCCTTTGCTTCTATTTGTTTGCATTTGCGTTACTGATTTTCAAGCCAAAGTATCAAGCTATATGCAGCAGTCTGAAAGCGTCTTTTGTGTTATTTATCTCTCTCTCTCTTTATTTTTTTTTTTGAGACAGAGTCTTGTTCTGTCACCTAGGCTGGAGTGCATTTTATTTTTTTTTGAGACAGAGTCTTGTTCTGTCGCCTAGGCTGGAGTGCATTGGCACGATATCAGCTCACTGCAACCTCCACGTCCTGGGTTCAAGCGATTTTCCTGCTTCAGCCTCCTGAGTAGCTGGGATTACAGGTAGGTGCTACCAGACCTGGCTAATTTTTTGTATTTTTAGTAGCGATGGAGTTTCACCATGTTGGCCAGGCTGGTCTTGAACTCCTAACCTCATGATCTGCCCACCTCAGCCTCCCAAAGTGCTGGGATTACAGGTGTGAGCCACCTTACCTGGCTGAGTGGTTTACTTTTCAATCACAGGTAGAATCAGGCCTAAAAAATGTTTGAATTTATATTATAATTATATGAATTTATATTATAATTACTTCTAGACCAAGGATTGGCACTTTTTTTGTAGAAGGCCAGATAATAAACATCTTAGGCTTGTTTCTTTTTGTTTGTTTTTATTTTGTTTGAGACAGGGTCTCATTCTGTCATGGTAGGGTGCAGTGGCGTGATCTCAGCTTACTGCAGCCTCAACCTCCTGGCCCCAAGCGATCCTCCCACCTCAGCCTCCTGAGCAGCTGAGACTACAGGAATATACCCTCGTGCTCAGCTAATTTTTATATTTTATATCATGGTGACAGAGTTTCACCATGTTGCCCAGGCTAGTCTTAAATTTCTGGGCTCAAGTGATCTGCTGCCTCAGCCTCCCAAGGTGCTGGGATTACAGCCATAAGCCCTGTGCCTGGCTACATCTTAGGCTTTGTGGACCGCAGAGTTTCTGTTGCAACTACTCAATACTGCCATTGTAGCACAAAAGCAGCCATAGATGTAAAAAGAAAGTAACATTTCAGGACCTTCTACCTGTATTATGCCAAGGGGAAAGGAGCTGGAAACAGTCATGTAACACAGTACATGGCCGCTGCTTTCTGACCTTTGTGTTGAGATGTTACACATTAACCAGACTCCCTGTTCTTCACTCAAACGTAGGCTGAATGACACTGGAGATAGAGACCCTTGTGATTATTATCTCTTTACAACAGAAAGGTGGGCAACCCCCTAAGAGTGTAATCCACAGTAGCCAATCCAATCTTACATCTGTATGTTAGCCACTGTATGGAAAATGATCTAATTCTGTTCAGCACCTCCATTTTTGTCTACATAAATGATCTGTACTTTTCCCCACACTGGGAGCACTGATCACCATTTCCTGGTATTTGTGTGTCCCCAGGCAGCTACCTTCACAATTTGTGTTTGAATAAACCCTTTTAGCTGGATCTAGAACCTTTTGATTATTTTAGGTTGAAATAGGCAATGCCTAAACAAATGGGCATGACTGCGTTCCAATAAAACTTTATTGACAAAAACAGGTGGTGGCCTGGATTTGGCCCATGGGCCATCATATGCAGACTCCTGACTTAGCCACCCTCCTTCCTGTCTCATGTTACAGTGGACCAATACTGCTAGAGTGTGAGAGAAAAAAATGTAGGAGCCTGCCTCTCAGTGCAGTTTCTGGAAGTTCAGTGACTCCCAAGATACAGTAGGCCAGCCTGTTTCTCCTTTCTGATTTGCCATCAATGGACTTGAAAGATTCCTTTAAAGCGCAGACTTCTGGGCTGCTCTGCCTATGGAGTAGCCATTCTTTTATTCCTTTACCTTTTTAATAAACTTGCTTTCACTTTAAAATCATCATAATAATAAATGCTAGGCTTCTGCATCAGTGTGCATATACTCTAGGTTAGCCCTTTCCCTCCCAGGACAAAGGGAACAGGGTTGGGAAAGGAATCGCACTTTTCTCCCTCACCCCTTGGGCAGCCGTTCTGTTAGCTGCCCCCTCACCAGCCACCCAACAAAGGAAAATTGTAATGCCCCCTTTAACCCAATTTTGTCTAAAATACTATGGGCAATTTGGCAATATCTACTAACATTTTTGTATCCTACAATCTAACAATTTTACTTTCTCAGGATCTACCCTAGAGAAATGCATACTTGGTTGGGCGCAGTGGCTCACGTCTGTAATCCCAGCACTTTGGGAGGCCGAGGCGGGCAGATCACGAGGTCAAGAGATCAAAACCATCCTGGCCAACATGGTGAAACCCATCTCTACTAAAAATACAAAAATTAGCTGGGCATGGTGGCACGTGCCTGTAATCCCAGCTACTCAGGAGGCTGAGTCAGGAGAATTGCCTGAACCCAGGAGGCGGAGGTTGTGGTGAGCCGAGATTGCACCATTGCACTCCAGCCTGGGTAACAAGAGCGAAACTCCATCTCAAAAAAAAAAAGATACACAAAATGGCCAATAAGCAAATGAAAATATGCTCCATGTAACTTATCATTAGGGAAATGCAAATTAAAATGATACCATACTATACCATTACGATGGCTACTATCAATAAAAACAGAAAACAATGTGTTTGTGAGGAAACTGGAACGTGTGTGCATTGCTGGTAGAATTATAAAACTGTGCACCATCTGTAGAAAACAGCACAGCAGCTCCTCAAAAAATTAAATGGAATTACCATTTGATCCAGCAATTCTGAGTATTTACAGAAAATAGCTGAAAGCACGGACTTGAATGCTAGGTTATTTTCATTCTTTGGCTATCATGAATAATGTTCACAGCAGCATTATGTGTGGTAGTCAAAGAATGAAAATAAGCCAAATATCCATTGACTGATGGATAGACAAACACAATACTGCATATACACGCAACAGAATATTATTTAGCCCAGACTGGGCACGGTGGCTCACATTTGTAATCCCAGCACTTTGGTAGGCTGAGGTGGGCGGATCACTTGAGGTCAGGATTTCGAGACCAGCCTGGCCAACGCTGTCTCTACTAAAAATACAAAAAATTAGCCAGGCATGGTGGTGCATGTCTGTAATCCCAGCTACTAGGGAGGCTGACGCAGGAGAATCAATTGAACCTGGGAGGTGGAGTGGCAATGAGCCAAGATCATACCACTACACTCCAGCCTGGGTGACAGAGTGAGACTTCGTCTTAAAAAAAAAAAAAAGAAAAGATTATTCAGTCTTAAGAGGGAATGAAATTCTGATACATGCTATAACATAAATGAACCTTGAAGACTTTAAATGAAATAAGCCAGTTATAAAGGGATGAATATTACATGAGTCCACTTAATGAGATACATCTTATAGATGAGGAAACTCATGACTTAATGAGGTCTGAGTCAAATTCAAAGAGAGAGAAAGTAGGGCAGTGGTCACCAAGGGCTGGGGGAGGGGAGAATGAGAGTGACTGTTTCGTGGATAGAGTTTCAGTACAGGTTGATGCAGAGTTCTGGAGAGGGATGGCGGAGACTGCTGTACAACAATGTGGCTGTATTAATCTACTGAACTACACACTTCGAACTGGTGAAAATGGTAAATTTTATGTTATGGATATTTTGCCACAATTTTTAAAAGTAGGCAGAGGATATAAACAAGCAATTCACAAACAAACTCTAACACCAATACATTCAAAAAAGAAAAAGTGAAGGAGGTAGAGCTACATGTACTACAATGGACACTTCTCTAATGCTTAGTATATTTGGCCATGAAAATCACAAACAAAACAAAACAATATACAGGCCAGGTGCAGTGGCTCATGCCTGTAATTCAGAACTTTGGGAGGCTGAGGCAAGCAGATGGCTTAAGCCTAGGAGTTCCAGACCAGCCTGGCCAACATAGTGAAATCCTATCTCTACTAAAAATACAAAAATTAGCCGGGTGTGGTGGCATGAACCTGTCGTCCCAGCTACTCAGGATGATGAGGTAGGAGGATAGCTTGAGCCCAGGAGGCTGAGGTGCAGTGAGCCAAGACTGTGCCACTGCACTCCAGCCTGGGGTGACCCCGTCTCCAGAAAACAAAAAAACAATAACAAACAACACAATCTATCATTTCTATGGATGCATACAAGTGTATTTAAATGCACACAACAGGGTCTGGAAGATCTACCTAGAGCTTCCTTTCAGGAAAGGTGGAGGGGAGCAGGATTGGAGTATTGATAAAGGGGACTTTGGCCTTCTCTGTAATGCTTTAATTTTTTTAAAAGAGAACTTTACATGCATTACTTGTATAATTAAAAATTATTTATACGGCAGGCATAGTGGTTCTTGCCTGAAACCCCAGCACTCTGGGAGGCCAAGGTGGGCAGATTGCTTGAGCTCAGGAGTTCAAGACCAGCTTGGGCAACAATCAAAACCTTGTCTCTACCAAAAACACAAAAAATTAGCTGGGCATGGTGGCATGTGCCTGTAGTCCCAGCTACATGGGAAGCTGAGGTGGGAGGACCGTTTTGAGCCTGGGAGGCAGAGGTTGCAGTGGCACAAGCCACTTCACTCCAGCCTGGATGACACAGCAGAACCCTGTCTCCAAAAAAAAATTTTTTTCCTAAAAAACCAAAGTAAGAGACATTGGAAAGCAGCAGAGAAGGGAGCAGACATCCTGGGACAGCAGCCCAAGGATGGCTCTGGCTCCCAGCACTGGGTCCAATGTGAAAAATAAGGGCAGTGCTGAGGTCAAGATTAGGATAACTCATGTGGACATTTCAGCTTTCACATAATCTTTGGAGTGGTGTTTTTAACCCATTTCCCATTTTCCCCAAGAATACTCCTGTCTCTAATCCTAATGTAACATCATATACATAGACAAGTTCTATTTAGAAATAACTCCAAGAACATGGCTGGGTGTGGTGGCTCACCCCTGCAGTCTTGGCACTTTGGGAGACTGAGTAAGGAGGATCACTTGAGGTCAGGAGCTTGAGACCAGCTCAGTCAACATAGAAAGATCCCATTCCTATTTTTAAAAAAAAAAAATTTTAAAGGCCAGGGGCCAGGCGTGGTGGCTCACACCTATAATCCCAGACTTTGGGAGGCCAGATGGATTGCCTGAGGTCAGGAGTTCGAGACCAGCCTGACCAACATGGTGAAATTCTGTCTCTACTAAAAATACAAAAAAAAAAAAAAAAAAAAAAAAACAAACAGCCAGGCCTGGTGGCGGGCGCCTGTAATCCCAGCTACACAGGAGGCTGAGGAGGGGAATCACTTAAACCCAGGAGGCAAAGGTTGCAGTGATCTGAGATTGTGCCATTGCACTCCAGCCTGGGTAACAGAGCAAGACTCTGCCTCAAAACAAAACAAAAATAAAACCAAAAAGAAAAGGCTGGGCATGGTATCCCACACCTATAATCCCAGCACTTTGGGAAGCTGAGGTGGGTGAATCATTTAAAGTCAGGAGTTTGAGAGCAGCCGGGTGAAACCCTGTTTCTACTAAAAATACAAAAATTAGCCTGGTGTGGTGGTGGGTGCCTGTAATTCCAGGTACTTAGGAGGCTGAGGCAGGGGAATTGCTTGAACCCGGGAGGTGGAGGTTGCAGTGGGCTGAGAGATTGCGCCACTGCACTCCAGCCTGAGCGACAAAGTGAGACTCTGTATCCAAAAAAAAAAAAAAAAAAAAAAAAAAGAAGGGCCAGGCGCGGTGGCTGAAGCCAGTAATCCCAACACTTTGGGAGGCCGAGGGGGGTGGATCACAAGGTCAAGAGATCAAGACCATCCTGGTCAACATGGTGAAACCCCATCTCTACTAAAAATACAAAAAACTTAGCTGGGCATGGTGGTGTGTGCCTGTAATCCCAGCTACTCAGGAGGCTGAGGCAAAGAATTGCCTGAACCCAGGAGGTGGAGGTTGCGGTGAGCCGAGATGGCGCCATTGCACTCCTGCCTGGGTAACAAGAGCGAAACTCCATCTCAAAAAAATAAATAAATAAATAAATAAAAATAAAAATAAAAAAGAAAGAACTCCGAGAACAGTTTTTATATTTTCACATTTAAAATCAGTCAGATTTGTTTGCTTCAGCCTCAGAGAGCATGTTTACGTAAAATTAGATGAACACCGGCAGCGAGTTGTACTTTTTTTTTTCTAAACCAGAAATGGGCTAAAAAAAAACCAAGATAGTAAAAGAAATTATTCTCAAATCACCTCTTCTGCAGAAAAGTACACTTATTTCATAAAGAATTCTGTGTCAAGCAGAGCTTACATGGGAAAATAACAGTGAAGCAAGATTTAGCTGAATGTTTTTTAAAGCCAATTTTCTCCTTACAGTGAGAGCAATATATCCTTATTGTTAAAAGTAGAAGTATGGTTTTTTCCCAAAAATGATTTTTAAAACTGCCAATGACTGCACAATACCAAAATGGCCACTGCTAACATTTGAGCCTTTTTCAGTCCAGCCTTTATCTGTGGAAGTTCCTACCTTGATGAGGTTAAATTATATTTTCTATGCTGCTCTTTAAATTTAATATTACAGCCTACGCCTTCCCCCAAAATAAGAAAAATTTCATAAAAGCGATTCTTAATGGCTGTATGCCATCGATTGCTTAATCATTTTCCCATCTAAGTGCCAGCCAAGCCCTACCCCGATTAGCTTCAGAGGTCTGATGAGATCAGGTATGTTCAGGGTACTATGGCCAGAGGTGATTGCTTAATCATTCTGTTAGATAGCTACATTATTTTTCTTTATTGTCATTATAATTAGGTATTGGAGATCTTTGTGCATACATCGTGCTCCATATAATATCCATGGAATGTCAGCAGATGTTGTGAAGAAAAAAAAAACAGTTCTACAGTCAAAAAAGTTGGTTTAAAAATGAAGTTGGGGCCGGGCGCGGTGGCTCAAGCCTGTAATCCCAGCACTTTGGGAGGCCGAGGCGGGTGGATCGCGAGGTCAGGAGATCGAGACCATCCTGGTCAACATGGTGAAACCCCGTCTCTACTAAAGATACAAAAAATTAGCTGGGCACGGTGGCGCGTGCCTGTAATCCCAGCTACTCGGGAGGCTGAGGCAGGAGAATTGCCTGAACCCAGGAGGCGGAGGTTGCGGTGAGCCGAGATCGCGCCATTGCACTCCAGCCTGGGAAACAAGAGCGAAACTCTGTCTCAAAAAAAAAAAAAAAAAAAAAAATGAAGTTGGGCTGGGGGTGGTGACTCATGCCTGTGATCCCAGCACTTTGGGCCAAGGCAGCCAGATCAACTGAGGTCAGGAGTTTGAGACCAGCCTGGCTAAAGTGGTGAAATGCCATTTCTACTAAAAATATAAAAATTAGCCAGGTATGGTTGGCATACACCTGTAATCCCAGCTACAAGGGAGGCTGAGGCAGGAGAATTGCTTAAACCTGGGAGGCAGAAGTTGCAGTGAGCTGAGATTGTGCCACTGCACTCCAGCCTGGGCAACAGAACAAGACTGTCTCAAAAATAAAATAAAATAGAAGTTAAGGCCAGGTGCAGTGGATCGTGCCTGTAATTCTAGCACTTTGGGTGGCTGAGGCAGGCAGATCACTTGAGGCCACGTGTTTGAGACCAGCCTGGTCAACATAGCAAGACCCTGTCTCTACTAAAAATGCAAAAACTTAGCTGGGTATAGTGGCAGAGACCTGTCATCCCAGCTACTAAAGAGGCTGAGGCAGGAGAATCACTTCAACCCGGGAGGTGAAGGTTGCAGTGAGCTGAGATTGCACCACTGCACTCCAGCCTGGACAGCAAGGTGAGATTCTTAAATAAATAATGTTGGGTAGGTTATTTCTTAAAAACTTTAACAAGCCAGTGTATACTGTGACTTTGCAAGTTGGGAGCCACCATGCAGCCATTCCTAAACTTGTTTGCTTTTAGGACTCCATTTTTCAAGCTAGTTAAGTCACAATCCATGTTTCTAACCATTTTCATAAGGCAGACTCCCAGACATGGAATTACTAGGTCAAATGGTACTGAATGTTTCGCAAGCTGTTACTGTGTAGTTACAAACTGCTTTCCAGAAATGTTGCACTAAGTTACACCCCGTCAGCAGCATATGGATGTACTGTCCAACAGCTGGCGAGGGCTGCAAATCTGTTTGTTAATCTTTGCTGACAGGTAGAAAATAGCACTTTTACTTTGTTTATACGTCTTTGATGATGGTCAAGTGGAACATCTGAGTTTGTTAGCAGTTTGTATTACTTCTTTTGTGAATTACCTTCTTTTCTAGGTTAATGGACTTTTTTTTTTTTTTGAGACAGAATTTCGTTCTGTCACCAGGCTAGAGTGCAGTGGCACAATCTCAGCTCACTGCAACCTCCACCTCTCTCCTGGGTTTAAGTGATTTTCCTGCCTCTGCCTCCCAAGTAGCTGGGACTGCAAGGGCGCGGCCACCACACCCAGGTAACTTTTGTTTTGTACTTTTAGTAGAGATGGGGTTTCACCATGTTGGCCAGGATGGTCTCGATCTCTTGACCTTATGATCTGCCTGCCTCACCCTCCCAAAGTGCTGGGATTACAAGTGTGAGCCACCATGCCCAGCCAGATTTTTTTTTTCACTTTAATGTGTTTGAAACCAGAGTACTTCTTACAATCAAACTGTTTATGTGGCAGTGGATTTCCTTCCTTCCTTAAAAAGCTGCTATTAAATTGACAATTTAAAAAATAAATGGTTCCATCTTTGTTTTTTAAAAAACACCTTTTTCTATCTATTGGGCTTCTAGTGTTTTGTTTTGTTTTTTTGTATAATGACCTATATGATCCTTTCCTACAATAAGGCTATTAATTCTTTGTCATCTGGACTTCTTTGAAAAGGTACATAATCCCCTTGAAATTCCCATCTAGATACCTTTCAGAAGGTGCAACAGTGTTAAGGATAAATACTGGTGTGAGGGGGGCTCCTTCTGATCCCTGGTGTACTGAGTGGTGAACTCTTCCAGCCACTTGATGAAAGCAGGACAGGCAGACAGGCCTTGAAGCAGGGAGTTCATGAAGCAGGTGTTCCCTAAATTGACAAGGCCAGGCACAAGCCCTAAAAAGAAGCAGGGGGAAGATGAGAACAGCTTATCACATTTTACCCTTTCTCTCCCATTTGGGACCCAGAGTTCCATCACTGTGGCCTTAAATTTGGAATCCCAATCCAAGAAGATCCTTATCCACAGAGATCTGACGTCCAGGCCTTCTGTCTGTGCCGAGGCTTGGTTCTAGTACTGCTCCTGCAGACTGTAGGCACAGAAGGACAGATCCCCCTTGTATGTTATTTTCGAAACCTATCATGGTATCAAGCACTGCTTGGTTCTTAAATGTATAAAAACAGTTAATAACCATCTCCTGTCTTTTTCTCTTCCTCATTCTCCCTCGAATGCTCTCTTTCTTCTTTAATCAGAAAGCAATGTTTCTCAGAACAGAAGAAAGCAATTGTTCTGTTGTTACTTCCCCAGTTCAATGATTCTGTTCTTATCTTAACAATCACTGGGAAAGACACCACTATACCAATTCTGATTTTCTGCAGAGATCTACGTAGTCTAATATAATTCTTCTGCTGGAAATCTTTTTGAAAAACTTTTTATTATCAAAGTCCTCAAAGACACACACAAGGAAGGAGAATGTATAATTAACCTCAAGTATAACTGTCCCCAGATTTAACAATGATCAAATTTCGCTACATTCTTTCCTTCTTTTTTTCTTTGCTGAATTTTAATCAATGTTAAAAAGAGCAACATCTACAAAAGACAGCATTAAAAAAAATAAGAAAATAACATTTTAGTAATGAAGGCATTCACTTGAAATTTTTACCAGTTCCTAGTAAGCGAGCCCAAGAGAACACAAATGTATGATATAATTAGTGAGTTTGCACTACTGAAAAATACAATTGCCCTATTAATGGGAACACTTAGACAATTATGCCGTTCGACATTTTTCATTACAAAGCATGCCTCAAACTCTAGTCTGGAGAGGGGCTGAAATAGAAATCTTTTTACTACAGGATATAAAGTAATGACTAATGGTAAAAGTACTGTTTCAAAACCTGAAGTCCTCATTCTGAAGATACAGAGAACAAACATGACCAACCTCCCCACTTCTTTGAGCTGTTTTCAGATAATAGGGATTTGGGTCAAGTCTATAGACCATGGTGCAGTATTCTCATTCTTACCTTTTCTACGCTTCTTTCTTTCTGTAATGGGACCCCAAATAACATATATTCCTGCTGCCAGAGCAGCAGCAATTCCACCTATGACTCCCCAGTTCTTCATGACTTTATATCTAAAAAAGAAAACAAGTTTACTGTCTTCCCTCAACACAAACACAATTATGCGAATATACAGATATAAACAGAATAACATTTTGTCAAAATAACCCATCAAAAACCTAATTTCAAGTTAAAGTGATATACAGTCATAGGATTACATCTTGAAAATCATGATGTCTAGACATTAGGATTTAAAATCTAAGTCAGCAATTCCACCTATGACTCCCCAGTTCTTCATGACTTTATATCTAAAAAAGAAAACAAGTTTACTGTCTTCCCTCAACACAAACACAATATGCAAATATACAGATATAAACAGAATAACATTTTGTCAAAATAACCCATCAAAAACCTAATTTCAAGTTAAAGTGATATACAATCATAGGATTACATCTTGAAAATCATGATGTCTAGACATTAGGATTTAAAATCTAAGTCAGCCGGGGACAGTGGCTCATGCCTATAATGCCAGCACTTTGGGAAGTCAAGGCAGGTGGATCCCTTGAACCTCAAAGTTCGAGACCAGCCTGGGAAGCATGGTAAAACGCTGCCTCTACTAAAAACACAGAAATTCACTGCGCATGGTGATGTGCACCTGTAATCTCAGCTACTTGGGAGGCTGAGGCAAGAGAATCACTCGAATCCAGGAGGCAGAGGTTGCAGTGAGCTGAGATTGCACCACTGCACTCCAGCCTGGGTGACAGAGCAAGACTCAGTCTCAAAAAAAAAAGTCAGATCATAACATTCTAAAGGCTACTTCTCTCTCTGAGAAAAAAACTGAAGTTATCTTCTGCCTCTCACTCCACTTCCTCATGGAATGTCACCAGCCAATGCTCTGACCTCAAGGCCTTTGCACTGCTCTTCCCCCTGCTCAGACTGCTCTTCCCCCAGATCACTGCTTAGCTGACTCCTTTACCTCCCTTCGCTTCGCAAGAGGCCTACCTGAACACATCATTGGGACCTATCCTGGTCCCCTTGACGTGATTCTACTTTTTCTTTTTACCATAGTACTTACCACCTTCTAACATAAAATTCATTTGTTCACTATGTTTGTTTTCTTCTTTAATGCACTGGTTTGTTGTCTGTCTCCCTCAGCTAGCATGTACTTCGTTTTACTCACTAACGAGCTCAAGTGTCTCGATCATGCCTGGCACATAGTAGGTTCTCAATAATATTTATTGAATGACTGAATACCGGAGAAAATATACAGAAATGAATTTCTCTTTTAGAATATTAGACAGGGAAGGGCGCACATACAATGGTATGAAAGAGCTGAGTATCTACGGAGTTAAGGGCTTAACTTCAGGCTTGGCTTGAATACTGAAGTTCTTCTTTTGCTACAAATTAAGAAATTTCACCAGCAATTTAAAACATTGTTTTTATACAGAGATATATATATATTTCTACAAAATAAGGCAAACCATCTATGTGTATATGGCTTTGTGATATATATCTGCATATGTGTTGCCCATGTATATATACTTGTTTGTGTGTGTGTAATATATTCTTATCCCAATATTTGGATCATGTGAATATTGTTTTGATTTCAGTTCAGTAAACATTAACTAGAGTCACTGGTGACAATAGTGACTCTACTTTATAATCAGCATTTCCTAGTGTCATAGCTGATAGCTGAATTTCAGATAAATATTTGTTTTCCAAGACAGAGTCAACAGAATATGCACCAAACTTGGTGAAGAAAGTGGGATCTGACTATTCTGGTTCAGTCCTGGCTTTGCTACTTCATTCGGCATAATTTCACCTTCTAAGCCTCAGCTTCCTCATCTGTACAATGGGGACAATCCATAAGACCTACCTCACAGGGTTGTTGTGGGGATTAAATAAGTGTGAATGCATAGAGTACACAGTAAAAACTTAATAAATGTTAGCTGCTACAAATTAAGCATTATAATCTCAGGTTCATTCATGAAAACCATTCTTTCTTTCCTTTTTTTTTTTTTTTTTTTTTTTTTTTTTTTTTGAGACAGTGTCATGCTCTAGTGCCCAGGCTAGAGTACGGTGGTGCCATCTCAGCTCACCGCAACCTCCACCTCTGGGCTCAAGTGATCCTCTTGCCTCAGCCTCCCGAGTAGATGAGACCGCAAATGCACACCACCACACCCAGGTAATTTTTAAATTCTTTTGTAGAGACAAGATCTTACTATATAGCCTTACAAAGTCCTGGGATTACAGGTGTAATTACCTAGCCAGTGAAAGGTATTCTTGAAGATTCTTTTTTTTTTTTGAGATGGAGTTTCGCTGTTGTTACCCAGACTGGAGTGCAATGGCACGATCTCGGCCCACTGCAACCTCCACCTTCTGGGTTCAAGCAATTCTCCTGCCTCAGCCTCCCAAGTAGCTGGGACTACAGGTGTGCACCACCATGCCCAGCTAATTTTTGTATTTTTAGTAGAGACGGGGTTTCACCATGTTGACCAGGATGGTCTCAATCTCTTGACCTCGTGATCCACCCGCCCCGGCCTCCCAAAGTGCTGGGATTATATGCGTGAGCCACCGCGCCCGGCCTCTTGAAGTTTCTTAATGCATCATGGTACTTATACACGATACAATGATACATGAGTTCACAAAAGTGGCTGGTAAGTTTAAAAGGACTGTTAAAGAACTTTACCAGTGCTTTAAAATCCCCTTATCAAACACTAATATTTATGGGTACATACTCTATGCCACGCCCTGTAACAATCTTATCTTATTTTTAAAACAACCTCACAGAAGCAGGTTCTACTATCACTTTTTTTTTTTGAGACGGAGTCTAACTCTGTCACTCAGGCTGGAGTGCAGTGGCATGATCTTGGCTCACTGTAACCTCTGCCTCCTGAGTTCAAGTGATTCTCCTCCTTCAGCCTCTTGAGTAGCTGGGATTACAGGCGTGCACCACCACACCCGGCTACTTTTTTGTATTTTTAATAGAGATGGGGTTTCACCATGTCGGTCAGGCTGGTCTCAAACTCCTGACCTTGTGATCCGCCCGCAACGGCTTCTCAAAGTGCTGGGATTACAGACATGAGCCACCTGTAGGCGCCCGGCCTACCACTTTCATTTTTAGAGCTGAAGAAACTGAGACCCCAACTTGGTCACAGTGAGTAAAGGAACATGGCTCTGAATCACACCTGTTTGCTTCCAAGTCTGTGCTTAAAACCACAAAGTTCAAGATGGCAAATGAAGGAAAGAGTGTCAAGGGAATGGGAGAGAGGACTTGTCCATGTCGTTAGCTGCATGAGAAAAATGCACCCAGGGACAAGTGGTGACTTTGGAAACTCCATTCCTCTGCAAAATGACATCCCGAGGAGGGTGGTGAGGCCTAGGGATGAAAAGATCTGGCTTCTCCTCCCAGCTCTGCTATCAGGTTAGCTGTGGGGCCACACTTCCCATCTGCGGAACGGGGCACTAGACAGGATAGCTATTGAGGACTTTCAGCCCTGGGATAATAAGCTCTTTAGACTTGCTCCAGTTCCAGAGGAAGCCGCCGTGAGCAACAGGTCTCAGTCATTTGGGGTCAGCAGTGGGGGAGGGGGGACTCAGTTCTGAAGCCCGGAACCCTTGGGAGGGTGAATAAGAGGGAAATGGGGGCCCTGATACGACTGGGAACCCAGGCAATTGAGGAGTCTTAACAAAAACGGAGAGCCTTAACAAGACCAAACAACCTGAACAGGTTAAAGGGGCCCTCACCAATTTAGCGACCCTTGCAAAACAAGGGCCTTTACTCACTCTAATAACATCGAGGACCCAGACAGAAGTGAGGATCCGTATTAGACTAGAGGGCGGGCTGACAGGAATAGGGGAGGTACTAAGAAAACGCAGGGCTTGCAGGTCCGGGCCACTTACAGGACTGTAAGAACCACGCCATGATTGGGGAACCCTGGCGGTCCAGAAATTGTTATAAGTGGGGGACCCAGAAGGGTTGAGGGTATACTAGAAGGACTGAGGGCTCTTGGCAGGCCTAGGAGGCACCGAAAGGACTGGGGGCACGGACAGAATTCGGGGCCTTGACAAGACGGAAGGGCCCTGGGTGTCCTGCGAACAATGACAAGAGGGGGAGGGACCGACAGACCCGGGGAGTGCAGACAGCATCTGTGTTGCCGAAGGACTGGAGGTCCGTCCCGTCTCCCACCTAAGGGCCCAGGCCTCCAACCCTAAAGGATGCAGAAGCTTCCGGACTGCCCGTGTGGACCCTGGGACCCAAACTAGGGCATGAAAAAGCCGTCACGGGCCCAAGCTGAGGACCTTGGTCCCGGCCTCTTCGGCCGCCCCGCCCCCCAAAAGCTCACCTGACAGCCGCTCCGGTACGCAGGAAGCGCTGGATGGCCCTGTCCGCCGCAGTCAGCGCCGCCTCGGCCCGGGAGCTCAGCATTGCGGCCGCACCGGAGGCCTGAAGCCGCCTCCGCCGCTACTGCCGCCGCCGCCGCCGGACCGAGGGCTACGAAGGTTCCCGAGACAGCAGCCGCAGTCCCAGCACCTCGGGGGAAGGTAGACCGCAGGACCGCGCCTAGGGAGATCGGAAGTAGCTGGCGCCGGAGAGCAATAGCTGACGGACCACAATTTTTTTTTTCGTTTCCCTTAGCAACAGGCGCCGGCGTCGGTTGCTATACTAGGCTCAGCTGCCCAGGGCGGCTTGGTTTTCAGATTTTTGCTTAGGCTCCATTCATAAATATAGATGGCACACTTCCAGGATGGACCCTGGGTCATGATTTGAAATTTTCGGTGTGGAGAAGAGGCCCCAGGTCAAAAGTCGGGTCAGGCCTCTGCTATAATTAGTTATTATTGTGGCCAGAGTGGAAATAGGTCGCAAAGGAAGGAACTTTAATGAGCATGAGGCCCATCTCTGATGATATCAGTAGAGAAACCAACGTCTTTAATAATAATAGCCAACAAACTTATTGTTTACTTAGGTGCCAAATATAGAGCTAAGCATGTCACATGCATTATTTACATTTAGTATTCACTCCAACTCGACATTACCCACATTTTACATCCCAGGGAACACAAGATATTTAAAGAAATAGTAAGTTCTTTGACACAGCTTGTAAGTGTTGAAAAGAGATTGGCATTTCAGTCTGTGTATCTCCAGAATAGCACTCTCCAACAGAAATATACAGGAGCCACACAGGTAATCTTACATTTTCTAGTAGCCACATTAAAGTAAAAAGCAAGAGGTAACCCGGACGCTGTGGCTCACGCCTGTAATCCCAGCACTTTGGGAGGCGGAGGCTGGCGGATCACCTGAGGTCAGGAGTTCGAGACCAGTCTAGCCAACATGGTGAAACCCCATCTCTACTAAAAATACAAAAATTAACCAGGTGTGGTGGCAGGCACCTGTAATTCCAGCTACTCAGGAGGCTGAGGCAGGAGTATTGCTTGAACCCAGGAGATGGAGGCTGCACTGAGCTGAGATCATGCTACTGCACTCCAGCCTGAGTGACAGAGTGAGACACCACCTCAAAAAAACAAAACTAAACTAAACTAAAAAAACCAACAAAAAAACAAGAGGCCAAGCATGGTGGCTCATGCCTGTAATCCCAGCACTTTGGGATGCCGAGGAGGATGGATTGCTTGAGGTCAGGAGTTCGAGACTAGCCTGGTCATAATGGTGAAACCCTGTCTCTACTAAAAAATACAAAAATTTTCGGGGGGTGCTGGCGCGTGCCTGTAATCCCAGCTACTTGGGAGGCTGAGGCAGGAGAATCGCTTGAACCTGGGAGGCAGAGGCCACAGTGAGCCAAGACTGCACCACTGCACTCCAGCCTGGGTGGCAGAGGGAGACTCTGTCTCAAAAAAAAAAAAAAAAAAGCAAGAGATAAAATTAATTTTAACAACATGTTTTCCTTGACCCAATATGTTTAAAATTTTGGGTCAGGTGCAGTGGCTTATGCCTATAATCCCAGCACTTTGGGAGGCCAAGGCGGGAGGATGGCTTGAGGCCAGGAGTCCAAGACTACCCTGGGCAACACAGCAAGAACCCATGGCTACTAAAAAAAGAAAAAAAAAGAAAAACAAAATATTGTCATTTCTATCTGAAAATTATTGATGAGATCATTTACATTCTTTTTTTTTTGGTACTAAGTACCTCTCAATTTGGAGTACCCGCTTTTCATGTGCTCAATAGCCACAAGTGGCCAGCAGCTACTGTATAGGACAGCACAATTTATAAAGGGTTGGGGCCAGGGAGAGTTTTCCCTCCCTTTCAATCACTTTCTCCGACTTTGGACTGAGTAATTGCATTCATGCTGGGGATGGTGTCGCATACCTGTAGCCCCAACTACAGAAACAAAACAAAACAAACAAAAGAAATCAATGTATTAGATCAGTGGTTCTCAAAGTTTTGTTCTCAGGATCTCCTTGTAATCTTAAAAAGGATTCAGGAATTTTGTTTATATCTAACTGTATCCTGTTAGAAATGAAAACTGTGGAAGTTGGGGGCTGTGGCTCATGCCTATAATCCCAGCACTTTGGTAAACCGAGGCGGGTGGATCACCTGAGGTAATCAGCCTGGCCAACATGGTGAAACCCCATCTATACTGAAAATACAAAAAATTAGCCAGGTATGGTGGCACACTCCTGTAGTCCCAGCTACTCGGGAGGCTGAGGCAGGAGAATTTCTTGAACGCGGAAGGTGAAGGTTGCATTGAATGAGATCATGCCACTGCACTCCAATCTGGGCGACATAGTGAGACTCCGTCTCAAAACAACAACAACAACCAAAAAAAAAAAAAAGAAAGAAAGAAATTCAAATTCAGCATTTTTGTTTCTTTAAAATTGAGGTATGTAGGCGTATCTTGTTTGATTGCACTTCACTTTCTTGTGCTTCACAGATACTGGGTTTTTACAAGTTCAAGGTTTGTAGCAACCTTGACTACAGCAAGTCTATGGGGACCATTTTCAACAGCATGTGCTCACTTCGTGTCTCTGTACCACATCCTGGTAATTCTTGCAATATTTCAAACTTGTTTTCTTTAGTTTTTTGAGATAGGGCCTCACTCTGTCACACAGGCTGGAGTGCAGTGGCACAATCTTGGCTCGCTGCAACCTCCACCTCCAGGGGTTCAAGCCATTTTCATACCTCAGCCACTCAAATAGCTGGAATTACAGGCACATGACACCATGCCCAGCTAATTTTTGCATTTTTAGTAGAGATAGGGTTTCACTATGTTGGCCAGGCTGGTTTTGAACTCCTGACCTCAGGAGATCTGCTTGCCTTGGCCTCCAAAAGTGTTGGGATTACAGGCGTGAGCCACTGCACCCAGCCGCAAACTTTTTCATTATTATTATGCCTATTAAGGTGATCTGTGATCAGTAGTCTTTGATGTTCTATTGTAATTGTTTTGGGGTGCCACAAACGGCATTCATATAAGACAGCCAACTTAACAGTATTGTGTGTGTTCTAAGTGCTCCACTGACTGGCTGTTCCCACCTCTCTCTCCCTCTTCTCAGGTCTCCCTAGTCCAGACACAACAATATTGAATTTCAGTCAATTAATAACCCCATTAATGGCCTCTAAATGTTTGAGGGATAGGAAGAGTCACACATCTCTCACTTTAAATCAAAAGCTAGAAATGGTGAGGAAGGCAGGTCAAAAGTCAAGGCAGTCTGACAGCTGGGCTCCTTGCACCTAATATTTAGCCAAGTTGTGAATTCAAAGGAAAATTTCCTGAAGGAAATTAAAAGTGCTACTCCAGTGAACACAATGTAAACTAGAAATCCTAAGCCCCCAACTGACTGAATGGGCCCCCTCTTGGCCAAGGGGACCTTCGAGAAACATTAAACACTGAGTTCCCAGCCATGATGAAATGGGAGGCCAGATGTGCCTCATTATATGTACTCTCTTCCTTTAGAAGTTCAGCCACAACTGACCAGCATTAATGCTAAAACAGTGGTCATAAAACGGACAGAGTGGACTCTGTGGCAATAAGATATCAAATTATAAACAGTATCTAAGGTAATTCCAGGCAAGGGTTAAGTCCCACCCCTATATTTAAAGAATAATCTGTTTTATATCAGATTTCTTTCCTTCTTTTTTTCCCTCCCTCACTCCTTCCTTTCTTTCTTTTCTTTTTTCTTTTTCTTTCTCTCTCTCTTTCTTTCCTCCCTTTCCTCCCTTCCCTCCCCTTCCCTCCCCTCTTCTCCTCCCCTCCCCTCCTTTCCTTCCTTCCTTCTCCCTCAGTCACCCAGGCTGGAGTGCAGTGGGGCAATCTCGGCTCACTGTAACCTCTGCCTCCCAGGTTCCAGCGATTCTCCTGCCTTAGCCTTCTGAGTATCTGGGACTATAGGTGGGTGACACCAGGCCCAGCTAATTTTTGTGTTTTTAGTAGAGATGAGGTTTCGCCAGGTTGGCCAGGTTGGTCTCGATCTCCTGACCTCAGATGAATCAAGATATGGAATCACCATTGTCCGCAAGTGACCCTCTGGCTCTTTGTACTCACCCCTCCACCTCCACCCACCTTCAACCTCTGGCAACCACTGATAGAAACAGAAATATTTAAAACCCAACAATACTGAAGCAGGCCAGGTGCAGTGGCTCACACCTGTAATCCCAGCACTTTGGGTGACCGAGGCGAGTGGATCTCTTGAGGTCAAGAGTTTGAGACCAGTCTAGGCAGCATGGTAAAACCCTGTCTCTACAAAAAATACAAAAGTTAGTTGGGTGTGTTGGGATACACCTGTAGTCACAGCTACTTGGGAGGCTGAGGTGGGAGGATAGCTTGAGCCCAGGAGTTAGAGGTTGCAGTGAGCTGTGATTGTGCCACTGCACTCCACCACACAGCCTAGGCCACAGAGCAAGACCCTGTCTCAATAAAAAAAAAGCAGCATACATTCTATTAGACATCAGACTGAAATCACTCGTTGTATAGTCTCTAAAAAACTCCGAGATCCACTGGTGAGTGAATAGGAGTGGGAAAGGCTTAGTATTATTATGAAAAATTCTGACCCCGTGAACCTCCTAAAAGGGTCTGAGTGCCCTTAGGGAGCCTGCAGAGTACACTTTGGGAACCACCACGTTAGCCTGCTGGGTGAATACTAAATTAGTCTAGCTCATCTTTTGTATTTTTTGTAGAGGCAGTGTTTCACCACGTTGCCCAGACTGGTCTCGAACTCTTGGGCTCAAGTGATCCACCCTCCTTGGCCTCCCAGAGTGCTCTGTCTTAAATGCTATGCTTACCCACCATACTCTGAGTAAGCCCGGAGAGGACAGGGCTGGCCCAGAGGATGGACCCTGGTTTGTAGCACTTAGAATATGCGGAGCTTGCTTCCTTTTGTCCTCAGTGCTGGGTCTTAGCGTCTGTTGTGGAAAAACAAGATGCTTTCACACGTATAAAATATTTGTTTTGTTCACAGGTAGAAAGAATAAACACAGAAAGATTCAAACATTCACAGGATTTCTGTTTACTTTTTCCTTTTGTGGTTGTTTTGGAGGCCAAAACAAAACAAAACAATGTCTCAAAATCATTTAAATTCCGCCTCACAGTATGTAAGAACTGTCTGTTGTAGCTCTTGTTTTTTCTCTTTGATCTTCCGACCACGGTCTCAATTATGTCAGCAGCACGTTCTTTTGGTTTTTTTTTTGAGATGGAGTCTCCATCTGTCTCCCAGGCTGGAGTGCAGTGGTATGATCTCGGCTCACCGTAACCTCCGGCTCCTGGGTTCAAGCAATTCTCTTGCCTCAGCCTCCCGAGTAGCTGGGACTATAGGTGCATGCCACCACGCCCGGCTAATTTTTTGTATTTTTGGTAGAGACGAGGTTTCACCGTGTTAGCCAGAATGGTCTCAATCTCCTGATCTTGTGATCTACCCACCTTGGCCTCCCAAAGGCTGGGGTTACAGGCGTGAGCCACCGCGCCCAGCCAGCAGCATGATTTACTCTTCTCCCCAGACAAGTTTGTGGGTTGACCTCCAAGGCCAGAAGAGGATGAAGTGTAGCGTAAACATCATTTCTTAGATAAATAAATGTTGAGAGAACATAAGAAGGGTTTCCTCAGTTTAAAAAAAAAAAAAAAAAAGCATCCACCTTTATTATTCACACAGCAGCCGTTGGAGGAGTGAAG